GGAGGCCCCCCCCCCCCCCCTCATCATCCAGATCCGTTAGAGTTCCAGCTCGTCCTTTGTTTGTTTGTTTTTTCATCTTCGGTCCATTTCTGTACGTTACATGTAACAATTCCGAACTGTGCAAATAAATATTTTATTTAATTAGACTCAACGCCGGGCTAGGAACTCTTATTTACTGGTCATGTGTCCAATGGGGGTTCATACACGCTAGACCAGGTCTCGTACATTCGGGAACATTCCACGACTCATCATTCATATCCATAGGGGACCACCGTGGTCAGGTCACTCAATATATTCCCAACGGACTCCTCGCCAGGAGAGACCTGAACTAGGAGGGTATTATTCATTGGTATCAGTATAGACCAGAACGTGTGTCCCCAGCACACCATGGATCCACCAGACATGGTTCAAAGGTTTATTGGAACGATCTCTTCATAATTAGAGGAAGTACAACGTTTGGAGGCCTCGCAGGACCCTTCATCAGGCATGGGATGATCTGCTGTAGAGGTCCGGCATGGCCTCCTGCACTGTGATGTGATCGTTCCAATAAACCTTTGGACTATAGGTTATGGATCCTTTGGACTAGAGGTTATGGATCCATGGTCAGTCCTCCATGGTCAGATATCTCCTCCGCCATTCACAATGTGGTCCAGTTTGCCGCATTCATTACAAAGTACAGTGTGACCCTCTCCCCCCACGGATTCTCTATCATATAGAATACACGGATATAGAAGAATTTGTCTGCATGTAGGTGGCCATGTTCACATGGCTTTGGGGGTGGTGGAGAGGAACCCGATGTCTGCAGGGAAATATTGCCATTGGAATCTCTGTATGGCCAAAGGTTGGTGAACGGTTCTATGAGGAATGAAGAGCACAAATGGTGAAGCAAGTGAAAAAATATCCAAGGGAGCAACAAAACAAAGAACAAGAAAGAGCGAAATACATACAACTGCAGACAAGATGGGATGGGGTGGAGAAGGACAGGAGGGAAGGGCAGGATGTGTCTGGAACTAGCAGGGTAGAGAAGGGCAGGATGGGTCTGG